AATTATGGAGACCAGGTTTGTGAATAAAGCAAGCTCATAACATGGACACCGAACTAAAAACAAACTAGTCAGGTTACTATAACTATAAGTTTGATCATATGATCCTGTATCAGAGGAAGGTAGCTGTTTAATACCCACAAGAGGTTTCTAAATATCTTATAATGACTGAACATTGTGAAATTGGAATAGTTTTAACATTTTTTTTAAAAAGTGCTGTTAATTTTTGCATATTCATGTAGTAGTATATAGAAGCTGCTGCACTGCATAAAGATCAGGTCATTCTCTGTTGCAGTTTCCCCTATAGCTTACAGGAGCTATCTGGTACTTAGATCTTAAGTAGGAGCAGGAGTAGGTCATTCAGCCCTTCAAGCCTGGTCAGCCATTTGATGAGACCGAGGCTGCAACTCCAGTTCCTGCCTGCCCCCTTAATCTTGAGCTCCATTGTAGATCAAAACCTTGTGCAAATTAACCCTGAACATACTCAATGATGCAGTTTCCACTGCACCATGGACAAGAGAATTCCAAATACTAACAATACCAAGAATAGAATTCTTCCATCTGTCTTAAATTGGAAATCCGTTAGCTTCAAGCTGTACCTCAGTTGTAAAATCCCCTGCAAGAAGCAACCTCCCAGCATTTACTCCATCAAACCCTGTCAGAATCATATATGTTTCAGTAAAATCACCTCTCATTCTTCTGAACTCCAAGGTGCTTTCACCCAACATGTTTAGCCTCCTGCATCCCAGGAAACAGGCTAATGAATTTTGTCTGGATTGTTTTCAATGCAAGCATATCCCTCCTGCAGTAAGGAGGCTAAAATTGTGTACAGCACAAAAGGTGTAGTCACATCAATGCCCTGCACAGAAGCAGCAACATTTCCCTACTTTTATGTTCCATCCCCATCAATAAAAGCCAACATTCTATTTACCAAATCACTTGCTGTAACTGCATGCTTGATTTTTGATTCACAGAAAAGGATTTCTAGATCTCTGTAAGGTAGCATTCATAGCCTCTCTCCATTTAAACCAATATTCTGATTTTTCAAGTCTTCCTACCAAAGTGATCTCACATTCCTCATATTAAACTCTCAATTTTTGCCCCATTGTTTAACTTAGAAGTTGCTTTGCAAATTTTGTACACTCCTCGCAACTTGCTTTCCCTTCTAGATTTGTATCATCAGCAAATCTGACTGTAACACAGTCTGCCTCTTCAGGCAAGTCATTATTAATATAGGTAATGCATAGGTGACACCCTCACACTGAACCCCATGATACTTCACTAGTTCACCAGCCTGAAAATGACCAATTTATTATTGAATCTATCTCCTGATTGTTACCCAATCTCTACCTATGAAAATACATCAACCCCAGCACCAAAGATTTTATCGTGTGGCTAGCATTTACATAGCACCTCATCAAATACTTTGTGGAAAACTTCATATACATCTGGTTTCCTTTATCTGCTCTGCTTATTACATCCTCAAAAAATTGTAATAAATTTGTAAAACACTATTTTCCTTTCACAAGATCATGTAACTCTGCCGGATTGTAGTATGATTGACATTACACTAACTGGCCTGCAGTTAGTTTCATGCTTTCTGTTTCCCTCCTCTGCTGAACAGCAGCGTTATATTTGAAATTTTCCAATACACCGAGTCCTTTCAAGAACCTGGGGAATTTTGGAAAATTACAACCAATGCATTCACTATCTATGCAGCCTAAAATGCAGGCCTTTAATCCCAGTAGTTTTTTGTACTTTTTCTTTAGAGATTATGGTTGCTCAACAGCCCCTTCTTGCATCTTGATTTTCTACGGTTCATAGGATCGTTTTTGCATCTTCTACAGTAAAGATACAAAAGATTTGTTCAAAGTCTCTGCCATTTTGTTATTTAACATTATTCATTCCTCAATCTCATTCCCTAAGGGACTAATACTTAGTTACTCTCCTTTTCACATATTTGTAAAAACTTTTACTTTGTTTTTATACTTCTTACTAGCTTACCATATTTAACTTCTCCCTTTTTTTAAAAATCATCTTTGCTGTTTGTAAAGTGCTCTTTCTCTGGGCTACCACTAAGCTTTGTAGCACATGTCTTTTCTGTCAATTTGATCCAGTCCTAATAAAAACTGAAAGAACTGCAGATGCTGTAAATCAGGAACAAAAACAAACTTGCTGGAAAAGCTCAGCAGGTCTGGCAGCATCTGTGAAGAAAAAAACAGAGTTAACATTTCAGGTCCAGTGACTCTTCCTCAGAACGGAGTCAATCGACCCAAAACATTAACTCTGATTTCTCTCCACAAATGCTGCCAGACCTGCTGAGCTTTACCAGCAATTTTTATTTTTGTCTCATAAATCTGGTGACGTTTGGTATACTCCTAAGAAACAGTATTCTCCTATGAACCCACGCCAACTATTTAGTTTAAAGCTCTCTATGCAGCACCAGTCTGATTTTTCTCTTTTAAACTCAGGTAGACTCACTCATGCGAACAGGATATAATACCTTTTAAAAGAGTAAAGCAGCTAGAAATACCTTAAACTAAATAAACTGTACAGCATATTGATGAACAATATCGTTAGATATTCGTATACAAGTTGAAGAAACTCACTGCCTAAAAGTGTGGCTCAGTCAGAAACTCTCGTTAGCACTTAAGCAGTATTTAGATATTGACTTATGTCGCCATAGCCTTCAGGGCAATGAGCCAAGAACTGGAGAACGGGATTAATGTAGTTAAACCACTGATGACTGCTGCAGACACAATCAGCTGAATGGCCTCCTTCTGTGCTGGAAACATCCATGAGTTTATGAGAATTGAAGAATTTTCACCTCACTTCAGATTTCAGGTATAAGCAAAGGAAGAAAAATTGAACACTTGTGCTAAGTTAGGCTTACAAACAATTTCTATGAATGAAGATCTTTAACCCCTTATTTGTCATGACAGAATTAAAACTGCAACTGCCCATGTTAATTCTTAAAAACTTCATTTTCTTGTTCCAACTCATGTATAGACACCATATTCCTCTCACCCACCACTTGAGGTAAATACAGGGTATCAATCTTTCTCACTTAAGCAGAACACTTAAGAGCCAGATAGAGGATTTAAAATGGTAGGGAAGAGGCTCAAGTGGAGATAAATGCAGAACAGATTAGTTGGACTCAGTGGAATAGTATATGCTTGCAGTATATTCTCTGTGAACAATGACAATAAATTGAATCCCCTTTCAGTCAGGCCGGGAGATTGTGTTGCTGGAAGTAACTGGGATGAATTTTACACAGATAATTTGCATTACGTAACTCCCAATCTAGAGACACGGACAGCCTATTTATAAGCAGTCACCCACATCTCCCTGTACACAGTTAACTACATTAATGGAATGTGCAATAATATCAACATTTCAGTCACTAAGCTAGAAGTCTCTAATTCTAATAGTGGGTTTCATCTATTCAGTCAGTAACTGACCTGATGTAATTGAATCAATGTCAAATGCTGTTATGTCAATTGCAAGCTGCCTCCAGGGACGCTGGGCTGTGTGCAATTCAGATTCTGATTTTAATTCCAAGGTTTTTCTCTTTCCTCTCAAGTCATTAAAGAAAGGGTGAAAATGGTCTTAGTGTGTCAGTTCGTAGCTTGGTGGGTCTTGTAGTTTTAGTTCACAGGATGTGTCAAACAAGAATAAAATTACAGAAAACAGAATCTCCTGAACACAGCAGGAAGATTTTCTTCCCTAGAATCATGTAGTGACTGAAGGAGAGTTACATAATGCAAATTATCTGTGTGAAATCCATCCCAGGTACATTTAGCATCATAATCTTCCAGCCTGACTGACAGGGTATTCCATTCATTGTCATTGAGGCCAGGATTTATGATGTCATGATTTGCAGCTTAAAACAAAACATAATATGTCTTGATGAATTCTGAAAGCAGTGATAACCTTGCCTAACAATTCTCTTACTGATGGAGAACCTGCACTGAAATGATGCACAGGTTTGCTGGCCTACATTTTTTCGTAATGTTGGAAGCTCATGAATGACAACATGCAAAGATCCTGAGTTAGATGCTCAAAAGGTATTAGAAACACAAAGGGTGAGTAAAAATGGCAGTTAAACCTGAAAAATCGGAATGAGAATGCAAGTGCATATGACTAGAGACAGTATACACACATTGCAAATGGGGGTTGATAAATGTTCATCTTTGACATTGTAAATGCTGTATATTCCATTGAAAGAGTTTGGAAAGAACGTCACTACTTGGAAAAAAATGTGTTTTTTGTTTGTGTTCCTGAAAAATAGTGGGTTACTGTTATCAAATATGACGTGTTTCCTCTCGCTGTATCATTACACAGACATGCAGGAAGCAAGCTATGAATCCATAAAATAATACACAAAGATCTTCCGATTACCCTACTAATGTTCTCCTATCCCTCCCCCTTGTTCTCTCTCTAAACCCTTCCCCATTCACACATCTCCCTGAACGCTACACCCACCTCCTCCTGACACCCCTACTCGGTTCCTTGACCCTCTACTCTCCCTCGACTTTTTAGACACTCACCCCAATCTCCCCGATCCCTACCTCTCCTCCCCACCAGCACCCCGCCCCTTCCTACCCCTTTTCCCCCCGGTGCCCTCCCCTCCTCTCCCTCCCCCAGCAACAGTACCTGGTATTTGGGCGCGTTATTACACTGCGGGAAGCTGCCGGCCGCCTCGCCGCTGTGCAGCAGGTTGTTGTCCACCAGGTTCCAGCCCCAGCTCTGGTCGTCGCTGCCCAGCAGGGCGACGTAGCCCTGGCACTGGAGGGGGGCGCGGCGGGTGGCCACACCGATAACAGCCACGGTGCCCAGGGGTCCCTCCCACCAGATCTCCCAGGCGTGGCGGCCCTCGCTGAAGCCGATGTGGGCCCGCGCACCGTCCGTGCTCTGGGCGATGGGGTTGCGGTGCAGGGTGAAGCCGTTGCGCTTGATGTAGACGTTGCGGGAGCAGTCGGCCGAGCTCCAGGCGTGTCGCAGGGCCCGGGCCTTGGCCTTGTAGCTGCTCAGGTTACACAGGATGTCCGAGCTCAGCGCCTCCTCGCTCAGAAGCCGCTGGCACACGCTCCTCCAAACCTCGCTGTTCTCGTCCGTCTCCAGGCAGCGGTTCCAGTGGCGGCAAACCAGCGAGCAGCTCAACAGCTCGGGCAGCTCCAGGTAGGAGAAGAGCAGCTCCAACACCCGGGCCGGCAGCTTCCCTGCCGCCATCTTCCCCCGCCCCCCCGGGGCCGGCGGGGGGTGCGGGCGTGCGCGGCCCCGACAACGTCCAACGGGTCCTGCGTGCGCGCCACCCCTGGGGGCAGCAAGGCCTGCGACCGCGCGGGGCTGTGATGTCATGACGCACCACCGGGAACGTGCCCGCCCCTCACACGTCATGGCCCAACCCGTGGCCGGGCTGGCCCACGTGACCCCCGCCCTCATCGGAACAATGACGTGAGAATCACAAACCCGGAAGCGACTCCAACAAAACAAAATGCAAGTGCTGGAGAAAACTTCAGCAGGTCTGGCAACCGACAGTTAATGTTTCCAGGCAAAACAAAACCCTGCAGATGCTGGAAACCATGGTGGACAAACGGGATGCTGGAAGAACACAGCAAGCTAGGCAGCATCTGGAGGAACGGAAAAGTCAACGTTTCGGATATTACCCTTCTCCAGTCCTGAAGAAGGGTAATACCCAAAACGTTGACTTCTCCTTTCCAGTCTGGTATGAATCTTCATCAGAACTGATACAACTAGGAAAAAGTGATGTTTGTGGTGAAGACAGATTGCAGGTGTGGTGAGTGGATGGATGGCGAACAAGCCCACACAGAGAGATATGAAAGAGGTAGGCAGACTAGGGGTTATTTATAGTAAGCCAGGACAGAAGAGAAGCTGAATAAGTGACAATGAGTAGGAGAGAATGGGTAAGCTATGGTGAAAGCAACCTATGTCATGACAAGATAATGATGTGGGGATGGATAGGAAACATAGAAGGATTGAATCAAGTTCTAAAGTTATTTAAATTGTTGTTGAGTCTAGAGGTCCTCGAGTGAAAGATGAGATGTTGTTCTTCGAGCTTGCACTGAGACTCACAGGAGCAGACCTGTGGCAAAAATGTCAGCCAGGTAACATGATGGTGTGGTGAAGTGGCAGGCAACTGGAAACTTGGGAGTCATTTTTACCGACAGAGTACAAAGTGATCATGCTGTCTGCATTTCATCTCCCTGGTGTGGAGCAGATGAAAGTGTTAACAGCGAATACAGTAGACTAGATTGAATGAAGCACGGGCAAATCACCACTTCACCTGTAAGGCATATCTGGAGCCTTGGACAGTGAGGAAAGAGGCGTAGAGATAATAGGAACTGCAGATGCTGGAGAATCCAAGACAACAAGGTAGCAGAGCTGGATGAACACAGCAGGCCAAGCAGCTCCTAGGAAAGAGGAGTAAATGGGCAGGTTTTACACCTTCTGCGATTCTATAGGAAGATGTTGTGAGTGTGTTGGCACTGGAGAAGGAGTAGACTAAGGGTTCTTATGGAATGCTGACAAAGGAGGGGAGGAGAATGTGTGTCTGGTCATGGTATCCCATGAAGGTGACTGAAATTCCAGCTTACGATTTGCTTGGGGTCCCTGCACCTCTAGAACTCAACATCGAGTTCAATAACTTTATAGCCTGATTGCGTCCTTCCATGCCCCTTTTACTACATCTCCACACTCTGGTCCTGTCATTGACAATGGATTGCTTTCAGTACAGCCTACCCATTCTCTCCTACTATTATCCTTTATTCAGCTTCTCTTCTGTCCTGGCTTACCATCAATAATCCCCTTGTTTGCCTACTCCTTTCATCTCTCTATCTCTGGACTCCATCTCCACCTAGCCATTCATCTCTCGTCCAATCCCATCTTCACCAGAAATATCACATTTTGACACCAGGCAATCTCGTGTTCCACCCCTGACCGACACTGCCAATCAACTCCATCAGACCTGACCCAACATGATGTCCCCCAACCCCAAATCAACATTTCAATCAATATTGAAATATTATTACCATTGGGGAAGTGCACCAAAGATTCACTAGACTTGTTTCCGATAGTGGGACTGTCCTACGAAGACAGATGGGGCAAAGTCAGCCTGTATTGTGTAGAGTTTTGAAGAATGAGAGGTGATCTCATTGAAATCTACAAAATACCTAAAGGATAGACATGGTAGACACAAGTAACACGTTTCCCCTAGCTGGAGAGTCTAGAACCAGGGGCACAATTTAAAAATAGTGGGAATGTCACACAGGAAAGTGATAAGCACAACTTTTATTTATTGAGCGTGGTGTAGCTTTGGAATTCTCTACCCCAAAGATCTGGGCTTTGTCTTTGAGTATGTTTCAGGTAAAGATTGATAGATTTCTGATTATCAATAGTATAAAGGGTGATAGGGTTGGGTATGTGAAAAACAAAGAGTACAACCAACCATGATTGCAGTAAATGGGAAGGCAGGCTCGATGGACTGAATGGCCTACTCCTGTTCCTATTTTCACTGCAGCATTCAAAATGTCTACTGGACATTTAAACTTAAGAACATGGAACTCAGTGCTGTCAAAGGATGATCTTTCTTACTATTGCACTCATCAAGCATTCCTGGATAAGTTCGTAACTACCTCCTAATGTGGCCTTTTATCCTTGACGTTACAGATTGTGGTTCAACACAGTTCCGTCGCTGCTGATGGCCCACAGCACCTCATGAATTACTAGTTTCAAGTTTGCTGGATCTGTTTGAAATCTATCCCAGTCAGCACGGTGCTAGTATCACATAACACAATGGAGTGTTAGCCTCAGTTTGAAGATAGAACTTCATCTTTGCTCAGATTGTGCAGTGGTCACTACCAATATTCATGGACAAATGCATCTACGACAGGTAGAATTTTGAGGATGGGGTCAAATAAATTTTCCCTCTGTTTTGAAGATGAATGAAGGCGAGGTGTTGCATTGTTAATTTTGGGAAGATACTTTATTGCACAACAAGCAAAACATTCAGAACATGAAATATGATTAAAGTCAATTGATATAATCAATCTGTGTATTGTTGCAAAATTAACATCCATGCCTACAACAGACCACTTGAGGGACTTGTATTTAACCTAGAGAGGTGCATGTATTCCACAATCTGACCTGCTGACATGCAGAGGTTATTGCTCTCTCACCACTGCCTCAACCTCTTTCAAACCCAGTATACTGACCAACTGACTTACGAGCATTGATTTTAACTCCTGGAGCAAGCTGATGATAACCCTGCACATATGAGTAACAGCCCGAGCAATTTTTATCCTGCAGGGTGATTAGCCATTTCCTGTAAAAAGCAGCAGTTGATTGATAAGCAAGAATGCTGGGATCAGAAGAAGGCTACCAGTAACAAGGGCAAGGCTGAACAGGGAGCACTGCCACAATTATGGTGCTTGGGATGGAGGAGGGCAGGAGAGTCCAGGCCACCAGAGGTCCCAGGAGACGAACCAAGGGAAGAAGCCCGAACTGTTACAAAGCTGTGACCCTGGCCCTGTCAAGGAGTCAATCCTGGGGTCCAGAGATAAGCACATGGGTGGAAATGCTCACTGACTACTTGTACCTGCCAGGCCTGAGATAAGGACAGTGTAGCACAGCTCCAAAAGTTGTCCGTCCTTTTTTATGGAATGCAGCAGACTGTAAAATGGGTGCTCAACTTCAGTGACAAAAATGTCACTGTACTTTCCCCCAGCAATATTTGCCCTGTCAGGATGCTTCTCAAAACTGTGGATCTCCTCTATCTGACTTTTAGATATCCTTGATCCCTTAACGATCCACAGAGTTACACAGAACAAAGAGCAGTGATGATCACCCATAATACCAAAAACTGCTGAAAAATCAGCACAAGCCTGGAAAGACTAGAGTTACAATATTTCAGTTGGGACTCTTGTCTGAACTTCGGTTTTAGATTTCCACTATTCACTTTTTAACTCTGGTAATTCACACATAACATAGGAAGCAGAAGCCACATAAAACCAGGTTTTATTCCTGTCCAATCCTCCTTCCTCCTACCTTGCTTGATAACAATGTTCTCGAATGTTCACAATATAATTTCACAGAGGTGTGGGCAGGGAATGTCAGCACAGCCCTCAGGTACTTCCCAGGTGTCTGCAGAGGAGCTTAAAAACACAGCACTCTGCTCTGAATCTCACTTAGACTCCTGGGATGAAGTTGTCCAGTCCTCTGACTATGAAAATTCTGTGTGATCCTTGTGCAGACTCAATCAGGTTGTAGCAGACATGGGCCCACTGGCAAAAGGTGGTGGTGGTGCCTGGTCACCTTCAGGAGGCTGCTGTATTTAAAAGGGGTGGGCTTGGTAGCTAATTGTTGGCCTTGCCTCACTCTGCAGCACTCTTACATTGGATCACAAGGTGATGGGTTCAAGTCTCAGTTGAGCGACCTGGTGCCAGTGCAGTGTTGAGGGAGTGCACTGTTACTGAAGTCCCATCTATTCTCTGGAGTGAACGTAAATTCTGAAGAACAGCAAGACAGCTTTCCCTTGGTCAATATTCAATCCGTGAATCAAAATCTGAAATAGTTTATCTGGTCATGATCACACTGATATTTGTGGGAACTTGATGGACAGAAACTGGTTGCCATGTTTCTGTATGACAACAGTTCGGAAGAAATTCATTGACTAAGAAGTGTTTCAGTTCATCCAGAAGGTGCTAGATAGATCCATATTCTAATTTTTTTCTAACAGAAGTGCAACTTGGATCTGGCATGATCAAATGCTTGATAATGGCTTTAATGTAAGATATTTTTCTTCTTCAGCTACAATAGTCTCCATGAGGATGAGCACGGGTTAGCAAAAGTAAAAATTGAAAACTTGCAGCCAGGTCTCCCAATAAAACCTCTGCTCTCGTCAGTGAGTTGACCGAGTGAAGGATGGCAAGGTTTTATAGGGATTTAAAATTCCCTTTGGATCCAGAATCGCTTTCATCTGCTGCATCAAGTCCACTGCTTCCTTGGGCTTACTGAAATAGATGCAGTTCTTCTTCTTGAAGCCAAGTCCGTGCTCAGCACTGATACTTCCATAATGCTGCGCAATCCATTCATACAGATAGGGCTCAATGGAGTCCAGCAGCTGCTGGTCAAATGCAGGGGACACTACGTTCAAATGTAAGTTTCCATCGCCTAGGGGAAATAAAAAAAAACCTTTAAATACTGATAGCACTGCCTTTCACCTTTACGTACTGACAGCACATTCCTCATCTTTAATTAGTAACAATGTTAATTATAAAAACTGAAAGAACTGTGGATGCTGTAAATCAGAAACAAAAGCAGAAGTTGCTGAAAAAGGTCAGCAGGTCTGGCAGCATCTGTGAAGAGAAATCACAGTTAATGTTTCGGGTCCGGTGACCCTTCCTCAGAACTGGGTCCTCGGGTCACCGGACCTGAAACGTTAACTCAGATTTCTCTTCACAGGTGCTGCCAGACCTACGATGTCATGTATGTATCGCTTACTTGTTTAATTACATATTCAGGTGACGGGCGTTGATGAGGTTCTTGTCTATGCTCTGGCGGCACAGTGGCAGTATCCCTACCTCTAGACCAGGATGACTGGATTTAAGTCCCATCTACTCCAGAGGTGTGTCATATGTCTTTGAACAGGTTGAGTCAAAATACTTATAAGGAACAAATCAGGGAGTCATTTGGCATAATGTTAGGTTCCTATTTCTGGGCAAGAAGGTCTGCATTAAAGTCCCATCACAGGCTGTGATGGCCAGTGAGGTATCATACCATGTTAAATAGGTTGGTACAAGAAACACACCAGGAGAAGACTAGTAGGTCTTGGAGCACAGTGGTAGTATCACTACCTCTAAGCCAGAAGGCCTAGGTTCAAATCTCATCTGCTTCAGAGGTGTGCAATACATAACTGAACAGGCTGATTAAAAATAATTACAAGGAATAAATTGGTGGAGGTGTTGTTAGCTAGAAGTATACAATATGTAATATTGGCTCTATAAATAAACAGTTGAAAGTGTTCATTTATAGCTCTAATTCTATCCTTCATGCAGTTTGCATTTGCTGCCAAATGCATTGTGAAACATGATATAATTGAGATATCATGGCCTAAGAAAGGATAAAGGAGGTAGTAGGTAAGATCACCAGAACAAGGATACTGAGGGACAAGAAGATAGAAGTTGTGGAGGTTCTGTCCATAATGATCCAATCCTCTCAGATACAGAGTGTGTGTAAGAAGATTAGAAATTCGCAAGTATTACATCCTTGTTTAAAAAAGACGTAAGGATTCACTTGGCAATTACAAACCAGTTTATTTAACTCATTTTTGGGGAAACGTTTAGAAGCGATAGACTAAGACAATTTAAGGTCACTTGGACAAGTGTGGATTAATTAAGAAAAGCCAAATCATGTTTAATCAATTTGACTGAGTTTTGAGATGAGATATTTGGTTGATGTGGTGTATCTGGATTTCCAAAAGATGTTTGAATAAGTTAGCAGGAAAATTGAATCATATGTGATAATAGGACAGTGGCAGTGTGGGCGTATTGTTGGCTGACCAAAAGAAACAGAGTGGTTAACAGTTGTTTCTCAGTCTGGAGGACAATATACAATGGGTTTTCACCCAATGGTTTCAATTAAGATCACTGATTTTTCGATCTATATAGATGATAGACTTGAGAATGCAGGCACAGTATCAGAATTTACAGATGACACAAAATTTGGAAACATTGTGAACTGTGAGAAGGATAGCGATATGCTACAATAGGACATAAACAGGGATAGTATATTGGGTAAACCCCAATCAGATGAAATGTAACAAAGGGAAGTACAAGGTGATGGACTCTGGTAGGAAGGACAATAAAAGAGGCAATATAAACTGAAAGACACAATTCTAGAGGGATATAGAGGCAAAGGGACCTGAGGTACTTGTGGACAAATCGGTGAGGGTGACAGCATGTGTAAGAAATTGGTTAAAAAGACATACAGGATCCTGGACAAAAACAATGAACAATTTATAAAACACCAGTCTGAACTCAGCTGGCATATGATATCCAACCCTAGGCACCAAATATTAGGAAGGATGTGAAGGCTTTAGAGGTGTTGCAGAAAATTAATTATGAAAATATTTCCAGGGTTGGGGGACTTCAGTCACATAAATAGTTTGGAGAAGAGAAAGTTGAGTAGTTGTTCAAAACATTATTCTGAATATAGTGCCAAGCAGGCAGCAAATTTTAACAAAAAGCGTGGAGTGGCTTCATTCTGAACAGTGAAGAGAGAAGGGGCAGCAAGTTTAAAAAGTGTGCAGAAAGCAGGGATTGGCTTCATTCTGAACACAGTTCCAAGACAGGACACAGCAAGTTTAAAAAGAGCTTGGAGAGTGTGTAGTGGCTCCATTCTGAATATAGTGTGACAGAGAACGAATGTGAAAAAATAGTGAAAAAGGACTGTGTAAGAGTAAAGGAAGCTCATAAGGGGTTGGAAAAAGTTAAAGAGGGGGAGGGCTTAGGGGAGGTTGTTAAAGTTTCCAGAACAAGTAACAGAACAGAGTGTGTGGAAAGTGTCAGGAATCTAATTTCAGGCACAGCTGACAAAGGGACAACTATGGGAAGGGGGCCAGTCAACGCAGGACTGAGGGTGTTGTACTGAAACAAGCACAATATATGTAACAAGGTAAATGAACTTGTAGTGCAGAATGAAATTGGCGGGTACGATGTTGTGGGTATCACAGAGACGTGGCTGCAAGGAGATTAGGGCTGGGATCTAAATATCCAAGGATACACATCCTAGCGAAAGGATAGGCAGGTGGACAGAGTAGGCGATGTTGCCGTGTTAGTAAGAAATGAAATTAAACCAACAGCAAGAAGTGACATAGGGTCAGAAGGCGTAGAATCTGTGCAGGTGGAACCGAGGAACTGCAAAGACCCTGATGGGAGTTGTCTACAGGCCTCCTAGCAGTAGCAAGATATACACAGAAAATAAATCAGGGGATGGAGAAAGCATGTAAGGAAGAAACTATTACAATAATCATGGGGGACTTCAATATGGAGGTGGACTGAGAAAATCGGGTTGGTAACAGATCTCAAGAAAAATAATTCATAGAATGTCTACATGATACTTTTTTGGAGCATCTCATGGTAGAGCCCATTGGGGGAGCAAACGGTTCTAGATTTGGTGATGTGTACTGAGGCAGAATTGATCAGGGAGCTTAAGGTGAAGGAACACCGAGGGGGCGGTGACAATAGTATGATAGAATTCACCCTGCAGTTTGAGAGGGAGAAGCTGGAATTGGATGTAATGGTATTACAACTGAGTGAAGATAACTACAAAGACATGATGGAAGAAATGGCCATAGTTGATTGGAAAAGGAACCTAGGAGGAAGAGCAATGGCGAGAGTTTCTAGGGGTAATTCAGGAGGCACAGCAGAAATTAATCCGAAAGAAGAAGAAACATACTATGGGGAGGATGAGGCAACCATGACTAAATTGGGAATTGAGACTCGGTATAAAAGCAAAACAAAAAGCATATAATATGGTGAAGAACAGTGGGAAGCCAGAAGATTGGGAATTATTTAAAACCAACAGTGAATAACTTAAAAAAGCAATTACAGCACACAAGATGAAATATGTGCGTAAGCTGGGAAGTAATAAGAAGATAGCATGAATTTTTTTTTTAGATATCTAAAAAGCTAAGGAAAGGCAAAAGTGGACTTTGGACTGCTGGAAAATGAAACTAGGGAAGTAGTAATGGGGAACAAAGAAATGGTAGAGGAACTGAATAGGTACTTTGTATTGGTTTTCACAGTGGAAGACACCAACATCATACCAGAATTTCAGGAGAGTCAGGGGGCAGAGTTGAGTATAAAGGCCATCACGAAGGAGAAGGCGAGGAAGCTGAAAGGTCTGAAGATGGACTACATGCCAGCATCATCAAGGAGATAGCTGAGGAATTTGTGGAGGAATTGGTGGTGATCTATCAGCAATCACAAGTCCAGCAGGGTCCCAGAGAACTGGAAAATGGTTAAAGTAACACCTCTGTTTAAAAAGGGAGGGAGGCAGAAGACAGAATTATAGGCCAGTTAGCCTGACCTCAATCATTGATAAGATTTTAGAGTCCATTATTAAGGATAAGATTACAGATTACTTGGAAGTGCATGATAAAATAGGGCTGAGTCAGCATGGCTTCATCAAGGGGATGTCATGCCTAACAATTGTTGGAATTCTTTGAGGAGGCAATGAGCAAATTAGACAAAGGAGAGTCAGTGGACATGATTTGTTTGGATTTCCAGAAGACCTTTGACAAAGTGCTGCACAGGAGGCTGCGAAATAAGATATGAGCCCATGGTGCTGGGCATGGACTGGCATGGATAGAGGATTGGCTGACTGGCAGAAGGCAGAGAGTGGAGATAAAGGTGTTTTTCAGGATGGCAGCCAGTCACTAGTGGAGTTCCACAGTGTTGGGACCACAACTATTCACGTTATACATTAATGATCTGGATGAAGCAACTGAGGGCATTGTTGCTAAGTTTGCAAATGACATAAAGATAGGTGGACAGGCAGATTGTGTTGAAGAGGCAGGGAGGCTGCAGAAGGACATGGATGGGCTCGGAGAATGGACTAAGAAGTAGCAGATCGAATAAAATGCGGGGAAAGTGTGACGTCATGCACGGTGGTAGGAAGAATAGAAGCATACACTATTTTATAAATGGGGAAAGGCTTCGGGAATCTGAAGGACAAAGGGAATTGTAGTTCAGACTTCCCTTAAGGTTAACATGCAGGTTCAGTTGGCAGTTGGGAAGGCAAATGCAACGTTAGCATTCATTTCAAGAGGGCTAGAATACAAGAGCAGGGATGCACTGCTGAGGCTGTATAAGGCTCTGTTCAGACTGCATTTGGAATATTGTGAGCAGTTTTGGGCCCCATTTCTAAGGATAAACTGGCACTGGAGGGGTTCCAGAGGAGGTTTACAAGAATGATCCTGGGGATGAAAGGCCTGTCATACGAGGAGCGATTGACTCTGGGTCTGTACTTGATGGAGTTTAGAAGGATGACGAGAGATCTAATTGAGAGACATTAATAGAGTGGACACAGAGAAAATGGTTCCATTAGGAGAGACTAGGCCCCATGGCCCCAAGTCACTGGAGGCTAACAGATGGAAGGGATGAGTCTTGAGAACGGAGATGAGAAGGAATTTCTTCAGCCAGAGGATAATGAATCTGTGGAACTCATTGCCACATGTGGAGGCCATGTCATTGAACGTATTTAAGACAGAGATAAATAGGTTCCTAATTAGTAAGAGCATTAAAGGTTATGGGGAGAAGGCAGTGGAATAGAGTTGAGAAACATATCAGTCATGATCGAATGGTGGAGCAGGCTCGATGGGTGAATGGCCTCAATCTGCTTATATCTATGGTCTTATGGGTTATAGTTTTAATCAGTAGAGTTATATTGTTCATAACTATTTACTCATAGCTAGATTCTAACTACTGTAATAGTAATTTTTGTTGTGTACAGAAACCTGGTCCATTCTTTCTGTCAACCTGGGTCTGGAATTAGGTAAATTGGGAAATTTTGCATACTTTTCAAAATCTTTAACTCTTGTGATAACTCTGGGAATAGTGAGGCTTCATTTTCATGGTGCTGTACTAGTGATTCATAACATCCAACAAAATTGATAAATGGGATTTAGTATATTTGGATTTTCAGAAAGCTTTTGATAAGGTTTTCCACAGGAGGTTGATTAGTAAATTTGAAGAACATGGCATAAAAGGTAACTTACTGGCTTAGATTATGTGGATGATACAAAGCTAAACGGCAATGTCTATTGTGAGGACAACGTAAAATAGTTTCAGGAGGATTTGGACAGGCTTAGTGATTGGGCAAGAACATGTCAAATGGAATATGATGTGGGAAAATTTGGTAGGAAGGACAGATGTGCAGAATATTTCTTACATGGTGAGACAGCAGAAAGGGACTTGGGGTATCCTTCTCATTAAGTCACTGGAGGCTAACAGGCAGGTGCAACAAGCTTTTGGGAAAACTAATGGAATGTTAGCCTTCATTACAAGAGGAACTAAATAAAAGACTATTGAAATCTTGTATAATAATAGAAATACAAACAGAAATAAATAGGAACAAATCTTGATGGAATTCATACTGACAGTCTATCTCAAATAAGCAGCACTTCAGTAAATCTCACCAAGGTGCCCATAGCCAACGACACGTTTGGCCCTCACCCCCAGTCTGTTCCTCATGTCAATGACAATCTCATAGAATCTCTCCAGTGGTAATGAAATGTCATATTTGTAGACAAAGCCATCACGGACCAGTGCTTCAGTGATGCGTTCCCGCAGAGCCCAGAGTGCCTTCAGGAAAGAAGCATCAGACATATTAGATTACACAGAACCTCTAGCATATGAATACATCCTTGTGAATCCTCCTAACAACTAGTACTGACTGATTCAGACACCATTTTTTTTTTAGGGTTTCGCTATGTGATGAATGCTTTCTCCATTGTGTACTTTATAATGCCACAGAGATAATGAACCAAAATTTATCTAAATAAAGCTCTTGACACCTTTAGCACTGCTATAGTGACTCTTAATTACTATGTATTGTCTCTAAGGTTTTGGAGTAGATTTGTAGCTTGGGTTGTGGGTATTGAGGTTGGTTGGCTCGCCGAGCTGGTTTGTTGTTTCGCAGTCGATTCGTTACCGTGCTGGGTAACATCCTCAGTGCAGCCTCCGATGAAGCGTCGGTGTGTTTTCCCGCCTGGTTTTTAAACTCTGGGGTCCGTTGAGATGGATTGCCTCACTTCCGGGTTTCCTTCGTAGTGTAATGTATATGGGGTCGTGTTCAATATGTTTATTAATAGCATGCTTCGTGCAGTGCCAGGCTTCTAGGATGTCTCGTGCCTGTCTCTGCCCACGTCAACCCTACCACAACTGCTCACCCGAACTAAAGACCCACTCCCCGCCATGGACAGGACCAATGTCATCTACAAGATCCCTTGCAGAGACTGCGAGAAACACTACATCGCACAAACAGGAAGGAAACTAACAACAAGAGTACATGAACACCAACTGGCTACAAAAAGACACATCCAATACTCACTCATCTCAATCCACATGGATAAGGAGAACCTCCACTTCGACTGGAACAACACCAAAATCCTGGGACAAGCTAGGCAGAGACAGGCAGCATTCTCCCCGTGTCTGCGTGGGTTTCCTCCGGGTGCTCCAGTTTCCTCCCACAAAGATGTGCAGGGTAGGTGGATTGGTCATGCTAAATTGCCTGTAGTGTTCAGGGGTGTGTGGGTTATAGGGGGATGGGTCTGGGTGGGATGCTCCAAGGGTCGGTGTGGATTTGTTGGGCCGAAGGGCCTGTTTCCACACTGTAGGGAGTCTATGATTCTATGGCAACGAAATGTCTGCGAAACAACAAACCAGCTCGGCGAGACAACCAACCTCACTACTATGTATTGTTCACTACTACAGTCTTAATTTGCTCTGTTATCCTTTTCTACACAATACACGTTCGCGGAAGAATCATTAAATGGACCCTTCAGTCAGTTAGTGATCCGTATGTGCACTCCCCACCGAGGGCAGGTTTAGTTGCTCTAGCAATTTACAGATCAGAGGAAAAGAACAGGTTCAATATACAAAGAAAAGCGAAACATTGCAGATGCTGGAAATCTAAAACAAACACAGAGAATGTTGCATCTGGCAGCATCTGTGGACAGAGAAACAGAGTTAACATTTCGAATCCGATACGACTCTGAAGAAGCGTTCTGATGAAGAATCTGTTTGTTAGGTTCAATATACATACAGACTAGTGAAGGGTCAGATCTACAATATGGTGAGGTAGATTCATAGTGAAAAAGTCTGGGAAAGTGTGAAAGAAGATTTCACCTCAATAAGAACTGTTTTGGCTGTCCCACCTTCTGAGAAGGTGACCTTCTCCACCTGTTTGCAATCTTCAGAGTAAAACTACCCTCTCATTTTTAGAGGGACTGTCTGTCACAAGCCGCTGCCATACCTGGGTACTCTGCTCATCATTTTTCAGTCAATGGAATGGTGAAGGGTTTGTTACAGATACACGCAAGTCCCCTTGATTAGAAGCAGCAGCAATATAGACACTAAAAGCAGAATTTAATCAATTAGGCCTCAGTTCCAACTGTGGAAGCAGAAATGTGCATTACTCTTGTTTACATATCGGCAGCAAAAGCCTAAGGAATTTAGTGCACATTTTAAAGGCAGGCAAGGGCCACATGGGGCATGAGCAAACACACAGCAGGAGAAGCAGGAAGTGGCCAAACCCACTATCAAATGGTTGCAATGTAGCGCCACATGGCCTAAAAAACAGCAGGGAGTCAGCAGGGAGTAGGTCAATTGGGAGACAAGGTTTTGAAAGACATTGTCTAGAAGCCAAGCCTTGCTCTCTTTCTGTAGCATAAATATTTCACCCTCATCACCCCTTCTCATAATTGTGTAATTTCCTGAGATCCCACCTTTCATCATTTCTACTTTCTCTTGCAGACCAAACATCCCCTGGGAATACTCGTTCATCACTCTGCCTTTTCCTGGGAATTCTCATCACTTACCCTCCTTCCCCCACCCTGCACTTTGTCCTTGTTGTTATTAATAATCTGCAAATGTTCCCCTGCTGCCCTCCCCATTTTTCTCCATGTTTAACAAAAACGACAGCTCATCTATTATCCAAACAGATCATCTAGCCTAGTGCATTGTTACCTTTAACCAGTCGAATGTCAGTGGCGTGAGTTTCCCATTTGCCACTGACTTAATGTCAAAGACCTGACTTAATTTGGATAAATTGTGAACAGTGAGTATTATTTAATGATTATTTCATCCAATTCATCTCAGCCTTCTGAAGTTGTACACAGAACACCACAAGCTGATAGACTGGATACGTTACTACATAAAGTAACAGTGCAACAACAAGAAAATATTTAATCAACCTTTCCAGATCAGATCTGATCTTTAGCCCAACATATGGATGAGGTATGTGCACCGTAAGTGGTTCAATGTTCATGTACACTGAAGTAGCAGGTTACAGTAATGAGTTAGAGAGCAAGACAGGTGTATAGTAAGGAGTCAGTAATGTTGGTTGGAAATTATATTTCTATTCTTTCAGTAGGAGTGTGGGACATTTGACTGCTTATGCAGGCACTTAGGGCCTTTGTCTAATGTCGCATCTGGGTGATAGCACCTCTACAATGTGATACTATCAACTTGAACACCATGTTCAAATCTCTGGGTAATACTTGAGCCTGAAACCTTCTGACTCGGAGGCAAAAATGCTAGCCACTGAGCTATAGCTGGCATCAATAAATTGATAACAGATATGTAGGCAGGTATACAGTAAGAATTATTGATTAATTTTACATGCTGCTGGACCTGCTGCGCTTTTCCAGCAATTTTTGTTTTTGTTCAAGAATTATTAGTCATTCCTAGGACATGTTTCTTAATGTGCATTCAGGCTTGTTGAATTGGATAATATCGCATTTAAAACTCAATTCATTCTTTAATTTGCAGCAGGCTTGCTGGAAATATTCCAGCAAAACCAGCTGATTATAGAATACAATAGTTATCTCTCTCCAAGAAATGGGGTCAGCAATGTCTTTACTCTTGAAGGATTGGCCATGGTTACCAACCTTGGTGCAGACCCCCTTCCTGGAGACCCTTTCTTATCACTACTACCAGAGACTCAGCTTCCCATTCCCATGGCAACTTCCCTTTGGCTCCACATTTGAGGAAACAGTTGTCTCTTTGCTGAACAAATACTCTGGAAATCCCAGTAACATGCATCACTATACAACATAGAATCATAGAATCCCTACAGTGTGGAAGCAGGCCATTTAGCTCATCGAGTCCACAGTGACCTTCTGAAGAGCATCCCTCCCAGACTCACCCCCTACCCTATCCATGTAACCCTGCATTTCCCGTGGTTAATCCACCTAGCCTGCACATCCCTGGACACAATAGATCAATTGGCCATGCTAAATTGCCCAACCTGCACATCTTTGGACTGTGGGAGGAAACTGAAGCATCTGGAGGAAACCCACACAGACACAGAGAATGTGCAAACTCCACACAGACAGTTGCCCGAGGCTGGAATCAAACCCTAGTGCTGTGAGACAGCAGTGCTAACCCTCATCAGACATTCTTCATCAAGCCAATAGTTGTTCAATCTAGTAGCCACAAATCCAATTACTACTCATTCAACTTTCAAGTTTGCTTGAATTCCCCTGTCATACAATATTTTATTGTAAAGAAAACCTCTACTTGTCTGTCCAATCTTACTCCTCTCACTGCTTTGAATCACTGTCTTGTTTACTAACTCATCCAAAGACAGTGTGTATAGATATTTTCTGACACAGAACTGCAGAACAGTGTTGTAATTAGGAATCAAAATGTTACTTCAAGATATTGTGGTTTATAAATCATATCACCACACGTGATAATTAGAAGTTTTACATTAACAAACAACAAAACACAGCAATAATAATCTGGCAGAAATCTAATAATCAACATACAAGTCAGCCACATTGTGATGCTGATTTGATTAACCCTTTTCTTTCCACTCTATCGCATTCTCCAAAGTTAGTTTCCATCAGAGCTGAGATCTGGGTTAAATGCCCTCTACCTTGATCTTATTTTCCTCAGTAGCCATGGTTCCATCAGTCACGAGACCAGAGGTCATGACTTTCTCCAGGAAATTACTGAGTTTCTCTTGATCATGATCATCATTGGAGCCTGATGTTTCTATTAAGATGTAAAATGGTGCCTCTGGAGAAAGGTAAATGAGAGAAACTGTAGTTAATAGCAGCAACATTACCAAACAGGAGGAGAGGTAGAAAGAGATGGAACCAGGGGAGTAAAGAGACATACATTGTGTGTAATGAGAATAAAAAAATAAAAAGGAGGATGATGGGAAAGAGAGAAGCTTGTTAAGGAAAGCTGAAAGAAACAGAAAAAAGGTATAGAAAGAAATGAAGAGAAGAGAATTTACAAACGAGACACATAAATAAAGAGAAAGAAAACAAAAGTAGGTAATTCTGATCAGGGAGTGTGACAAAATGACAGGTCTACCCATCCACACAGCTTAGAAAGACCTGACAGTGCAATTTAATGTGGAATTTGAGCAATAATCAACTGCAATTGCAAAAATAATTACACTTCAAATCTAAATTGTATTTTCACGACTTACCGACACGGACAGTTGAACGTACATTAGGAAAGAGGAGGTCCTTGTCAATCTGTATATTTTATAACATTATGAGAGTGAAATCCCCACGTACGCTCAGACAAGACAAGTATACGATACATTAAATGTAGGAAGTACAACAGAGAAGCAGAGTCGCTCAGTTGTATATTTTCTACATGTGGCTCATTGTGTATTCCCACATCACATGATGCCTATATCCTGAGATTAATAAATTTAAAAAGGGCATTTAATATCACCATCTTTCATCACTGTTACAGAATAACATCCTCTTATAACTCCACTCATCCTCAAGACAATAAAACCATGATTGTCGACAATCTTTTTAAGATGAATTCCTTTAACGAGGGAATGGGAGCGTTGTGATAATGGTGGTAGTGGTACTGGACTTGTGACATAAGGTAGCACCTCCTATGAACAAAACACTGCTGCACAAATTGCTCAAATCAGCCATCTTCGATCTCATTGTGCCTGAAGTCTAACTCAGTAAATTCCAGTTGATTATCATGGTCATCTCTGACGACAAAGGACAAACAAACCCTGGACTAGTAATCCAAAGACCTCAATTCCTATTCCATTGACAAACAAATTCAAAATCCACCATAACAGCTGTGGACATGAGGACAGATTTTAAATAATTTAGGGGAGGCAACAGCCTAGTGGTATTATCACTGGACTGTTAATCCAGAGACCCAGACAATGTTCTGGGGATCCGGGTTCAAATCCCGCCACAGCAGATGGTGGAATCTGAATTCAATAAAATATGTAGAATTAAGAATCTAATGATGACCATGAATCCATTGTTGATTGTCAGGAAAAACCCAACTGGTTCACTAATGTCCTTTAGGGAAGGAAACTGCCAACCTTACCTGGTCTGGCCTACATGTGACTCCAGACCCACAGCAATGTGACTGATTCTGAACTGCCCTCTGGGCAATTAGGGATGGGCAATAAATGGTGTCTGGTCAGTGATGCCCTCATCCCGAGAATGAATTTTTTTTTAAATTCAGTCATTGTGACCATGAAACTACAGATTGTCTCGAATATTCTTTAGGGAAGGGAATCTGCCATCCCTTCCCAGTCTGTCCTACATGTGACTCCAGAACAACAGCAATGTAGTTAACATTTGAGTCATAGTGTAGAGTCATACAGCACAGAAACAGACCCTTCAGTCCAACTTGTCCATGCTAACCAAGTTTCCCAAGCTAAACTATTCCCACTTTCCTGTGTTCGGCCCATATCCCTCTAAACTGTTTGCATCTCTGAAGTACTAGGCAATGACCACTTCCAACAAGACAGAATCTATTGTCATACAATGGCATTACCATCATAGAACCCCTAACCATCAACATCCTGACAGTGACCACTGACCAGAAACCAAACTGGACCATCCAAATAAATGTGATCCTAATGGCAGATGAGAAACTGGGAATCCTGCAGCAAATAACAGAACTCCCCACTCCCCAAAATCTATGCACAAATCAAGAGTGTGATGGAATACTCTCCACTTGCCTGGATGAAACGTAGCTCCAACAACATTCAGGAAGCTTGAGACTATTCAGGACAACGCAATTCACGTGACTGCCAACCCCCTCTGCCACATTCAGAACTCATTTTCTCACCACTGATGTACAGTCGCAGTAGTGTGTATCTGCTACAAAATACACTGCAGTAACTTGCCCCCAGGCTCCTTTGACAGCATCTCCCAAACCATTCCCGAGGCCAGCAGATATATGGAAATACTGCCACCTATAATTACCCTCCGAGTCACATATCAGCCTGACTTGGAAATATATTGCTGTTTCCTCACTGAAAATTTTGTTCAAAATCCTGGAATTCCCTTCCTACAGCACTTAGCCTCATGGGCTGCAGCAGTAAGAAAGCAGCTCACTACAAACAGGGCAATTAGGGATATGTAATAAACAGAGATGCCCACATCCTATTAACACTTTTAATTAAAAATCCAGTCAATATGGCAAAACCTCTAATGAAAGTTTGCTGTTGTCTCAGAACTACAAGCAAAGAGGTTACAATCAACTGAATTAAACAAATAGGATATTAATTACCACTCTTCACATCCACCTAGCTGTGAAATAAAACAATCAATAGTCTGTATCAGTCCTTGTTTCACCAAACAAAAACAGAAAATTGCTGGAAAAACTCAGCAGTTCTGGCAGCATCTGTGCAGAGAAAGCAGAATTAATGTTTCCAGTCTGGTGACCCTTCTTGAGAACTTGTTTAACCAAAGTTGAAGTACTGGTGTGACAGAAACAATTATCCAATTCAAGTCAATAATTGCTGTCACATAACTGTTTAAGTAGGTATGTGGATATGTGATCACTCACGGTCTAATTGAATGGTACAATGGCCTACTCCCATTCCTCTTTGAGTTAACTCCCACAGTAGTAAGAAGTCTACACCAATCCCAGGAGCATCTGATGCCATAAATTCAAAGAAACCTAGGGAAGAACCAACTGTGATCTAATTTTATTTTCTAATTCTCCTTTTACCTTGCAGTGGGTTTTGTAGTTTAAGGTGCTCGCAAACAACCTCTCTGCAACTGTAATCCAAGAACTCAAACGCAGAGAGAATTTCACCCAACATGCCTTTGGATTCCTTGAATATATCCAAGATCTTCTCAAAGCTGTCACAACCTTAAGAGACAAAACAGATCAATATTGTGTGTATTGTACAAGGTCAAAATACTCTGCTGATAATAACTCTACCTCAGTGACAGTGGTGGAGATGGTGCTAAATTACCAGACTATATTGTCTGACATTCAGTACTGGATGAGCAATTACTCTCCCAACTAAGTACTGGGAAGACATCCTGTTACAAACTTCATTCTCTAGCCACTGACTGCACCCCTCTCTCAACGACTCCCCGAGGCTGAAACAGGCTGTCTACAAACTTGTTGTCACATTTGACCCTGAGATGCAATTATGACCATATGTCAGCACAATCACAAGAATGCTACTTCAACCTTCTTAACAGCGCCTGACTCTGTTCCTCCCTAGGTTCATCTGCAGACAAAACTCACACGCTTGGTCCTATCCTTGTCATACCAATGCATTCCTGACTGGTGTCCCACATGCGACCTGCCGTAAACCTAAGGTCATCTAAAATTCTGCTACCATGTCCTTATTTGTGGCAAACCCTGTTTGCTGTACTCACTGACCTACACACGCTCCAGACTAAGCCTTGATTTTAAAATTCTAATTTTTCTTTACAAGTAACACTTTTGACTTGCCACTTCCTAGCTTTATAATCTTCTCCTGCCATCGACGCACCGTGATCTCTGCCCTCATCTAATTCTGACCTCCGAAGCATCCCCAATTTTAAGTGTTCCACCACTGGCAAATGTACAATCAGCTACCCGGTATCCAAGCTCTACAATTCCCTCTGTAAATCACTCTGCCCCTAGACCCTGCTTCTTCCTTTGGGATACTCCTTATAATCTATTTCTCTAACAAAGCTTTTGGCCATGTGCCTTAATATCATTTTACATGGCTTGAATGTATAATTTTGTATCATAATTTTTCTGTGATCTACCTTGGCACATTTTGTTATGTTACAAAGCGAATGTTATAAAGGAAATATAACATCAGCTATATTTTAAAGGATACAGTGAGGTGTGTACACTTTACAAGGATAGCATACCATATGATTATTATACATTACTGCACAGATATTCTAGACATTGAGGTCATTCTAACTGAGATACATTACTGTGTAAACATTATATAAGGCATGGAAGATAATCAGACAGAGGTACTTATCATATCTTAAAATTAAAGTAACAAATATCTTTTTGATTTCCAAAACATCCAAAGCAAATGTGTTCATCCTTATCAATGAGATAAGAATGCTGTAGCAGCTCCTACACAAGGGGGAAAGGCTAGAATGGGTCAAACACCATTTTTTGCCTCACTGGTGCTGTTAACCGAGTGTCTGGGTCAGAATCTAATCAAGTCAGCCAGAGAGGGAAATAAGGGTTTGGGCAGCACAGTGGCTCAGTGGTTAGCACTGCCACCTCACAGTGCCAGCGACCCAGGTTCAATTCCAGCTCAGGCGACCGTCCGTGTGGAATTTGCACATTCTCACCGTGTCTGCGTGGGTTTCTGCCGGGTGCTCTGGTTTCCTCCCACAATCCAAAGATATGTAGGTTATGTGGATTGGCCATAGGAAAGGCAGGGTTACGGGGATACGGTCGGGAGTGGGTTTGGGTAGGATCCTCTTCGGTGGGGTTACCGTATCATGGATACACATTAAAACCCATGGTCAAACAGAGTAAATTGTTCCTTTGCAATTAGTTCATCACCAAATGAGAAATGTCTCTCTTCAGATTCAGAGATTGTTAAGGACTGCACATCAGAAGAGGTCATCTTCCTGGTGAATTTGGGATAGTTGGCTTATATGTGGAATTTGGCTGGTCTCATGGGGAGAAGGCTGAAGTGTTGCATTGAGCTCAAGAGGCAGCTGGCCTCAGGAAGTCAGATGACAACAACTCCAGGGGTGAGAGTGTGGCAGGTGGGAGGGATTGATAGAGGTTTCCATTCAAAATTGTTTTATCACACAAGCAGAATTATGCTGTTGGCTTATTGGATGCCTAGGTGGGTACTGATTAAAAATGCTGCCCAAACCTTTGATCCCATGAGGTAATGGTAAGGTTAGAGACTTCATGCCTGCTCCCACCACACAACTGGCTGAATGACTCAACTGTGCATAGCTAATCGACTGGCTGCAGTATGATTGTGTGTGGTTAGCTGTCCTGCTCATTCCTAGTCCCCTTGATCGGAACCTTGCCATTGTACAAAGATTCCACACTGGGAATGCTGATGTATATTTGGCATCTGGAGTTGCTGTGGCATATTATATATATATATTATATATATTATTATATTATTAGTATTATATATATATCAATGCTGTCTTTACCTAGTAGTGCTACATTGATAGCAGCTGACTTCCTTGGACACAGAACAGACACTGCGGTAATGATTCCAAGTGTCCCCTCAGCTCCTATAAAAAGCTGCTTGAGGTCATAGCCTGTATTGTCTTTGCGGAGGGATGTTAGACAGTTTAATATGGTTCCGTCTGCAAGTACCTGCAAGCAGGAACAAGGTATGAAAGAACGATGCAGAGGAATAGTTAAAATGACAATCGCTGAGCAACAAGGACACAGATTGAGTGGTAGCTTGAAATTAATAATGACCAAAAAAAAGGCCATGTTGTTACTGTTTTGGGAACAGTGAGAAACTAAAAGAGGTGGAGCACTCATTGATTTGACAATGATGAGTTTGGAGAGCTACAGAGACTGGGCTGGAGAATGGGACTGGCTGGGTATCTCTTTCGGAAGCTGGTACAGACACAATGGGTCGAATGCCTCCTCCTGTACTGCAAAATTCTATGATTCAATGATTTTATAAGAAACATCACACTGGTGCTGGAGAAAGCCAGCATTGCCTCTGGTCATGAATAGTGTGGACAATAACAGGAATAAATGAACAGAAGGGGTCATATAGCTCCTCAAGTCTGCTCTGCAATTCAATAAAATCATAGCTAATCGGTGACCAAACTCTGTATTTACCCACCTTTGCACTATATCCAATGATATCTTCGGTTAACAAAATTTTATTAGTCTTAAGACTGGCACAAAGCAGTTGATGTTAAGTCAAAGGGAGTTCTAATCTTGTACTATGAAGTACAAATGTTTCCTAAATTCACTCCTTATAGATCTAAGTCCAATGTTTCAACCATGCTCCCTAGTCTTAGCCTAAAAGAAATAGTTTCTCTCTATTTATTTACCCTCTTGGTTCGCCTTAATATGTGAAAATCTAAATCAAATGACCCCTTCACTTTCTAATCTCCAGGAAACACAATGGTAGTTTGCGTAAGATCTCCCCATAATTTAACCCTTGGAATCTAGTTACCATAAATCTGTGCTGCACTCCTGCACAGCCCCTAAGATGTGGCGCCCTGAATTGCTCTCCGTGATGCCAGGTGTTGCCTAAGCAAGCCTCTGTATAGCTGAAGAGTGACTTCTACCTCTCTGTATTCTAGTCCCCTCTATACGTAACAGTGAGCATTTCACCCAACCTTCTGATTATTTTCTGCGCTTGCCCGTGACATTTTAATCATCAGTGTAACTGGACTTTTAAGTCTTTCAGGATCTCCACTGTTTCTAGTTTTTCACCATTTAGAAACTACTCTGAGCCCTATTTCTTAGGTCTAACATGAATGATCTCACAATTCCTTATACTGAAATCCATTTTCCACTTTTTTTCTACTTACTTAATCAATCCCTTTGTAATGTAATGCTTTTATCTACCCTGTTTATAATGCCACCTATCTTTCTGTCATCAGCAAACTTGAATATGTGGTGCTTTATTCCATCATCTAAGTCACTTAAAAATAGTGCCTAGTTGAGGCACTGGCACCATTAGTCACATCCTATTCATTATCCCTACTCTGAATCCTGCTGCTCAGACAATTTCCTAACCAGGTCAATAGCTTGCCTCAATTCTATGAGCTTCAGGTTTGGTGAACAGTACCCAGACTTAGAAGAATGAGAAGGTAGAAATGGACAAGGAATCTGGAAGTGTACGTTTCAGCAGCAGGAAATTAACAGCACAGCTTATAAAATTGTGCTCGATTGTATCCCATCACTGCCAATGAAATATAGCAGTTTCTTACCACTTCCAGTCCCAGTACTGTCCCACGCAGGGAGCCATATCTCAGCAGTCTTAGTCCACCAGCATTGGTTGCCACGTTCCCACCAATGTGGCAGCTACCTTTCGAGGCCAGGTCAAGGGGCATGATAAAATCTTGTTCCTCAAGGTAATTATTCAAGTTTTCCAAAATGCAGCCAGCCTGACAGGTAAGCACTCCTGAAAGCACAGAGACACAAGAGTTTGGCTATGATCCCTGTTTTATAGCACCTTATCCTATATTTTCTGCTCTCCTGTCACTGGAGTACAGTTCTGCAAGGACTAGACTCCTTTCAGAGCCTCACCCATGTGGTCCTTTATCACATGAACCTGGGATGCGGGCACAGGATCAGAGATCAACACAAACCATGCCTGATTCCTTCTGACAGAACAGACATTCATTTGCACTCCCTGTCTCTCTGGCCTACAGATCCTGAACTGCAGCCAACTCCAAGCCAACTTGTTGTTATTGAAATTAAACAGTAAGTCTGGATCTGGATAGGGAATCCTGCCATTAATGTGTCTGTGACAAGGGCAAATACTACTGTATTTGGGGGAGTGTTGCAGTATGAATAATTAGTTGGAATCATCAAGATTTAACAGTCTCGAATAACAGCAGTTACTCTTGTGTTTGACTGAAGATTGGGGAATATTAGCTGTTAAGGTGTCAATGGTTCAATTTACAATTGTCAGCAAAGTAAGTCATTTCTTACCAGAGTTACTGTTGAAACTGATGATGTTGTCCATTTGAACGGTTGAAACAATTATCTCATCGAACACTGGCACACTCCCTCCCACTAATCCAGTGTTGCCACCCTGAGGATTCACAGCCAGGTTCCGACTATTACAGTATCTGATAAAGTGGAACAGCCTACTGTCAGAGTCAAACATATCCGATCATCCTAATCATTAACAAAATCAATCACACCGTAAAATTTAATGCCAATCCCACAGCAAGTACTAGCATCAATCACACTCTCAAGGTTAACAACGATTACAATACCACTTTCATGCAATTAAAATGATTACAACACAGAAGGTGGTGATTCGGCCTGTCATGTCTATAGCAGCTCTCAGCAAAAATACATAGGCTTGTCCCAGCACCCCCACCTTTTCCCCATAACCCTGCAAATTATTATAACCATTCATTACATGGTATTAAGAGTTATTAGCATTTATAAACAGTCAATCACGCTGCAAGTGGTAAAAACAATCACACTGTGATACTCAAGACTATCACACACAGGGTCCCAAAGAATGTGTTCCATCCTTGCTCTGTTTTCTCCCGACAGTCTGCAAGTCCACACAGGGACTCAGCTATACCTGTAAGTCACACACTGGCCATATTTTACTGAACGTTTGGTATGATAGACTTGAGGCACTGCACACACAATATAAACTAGTCCTGGTCCTTGTGTGCTTCTGGAATTCAGCTTGTATCTAACAATAACATTAGGTGAAGGAATGACTGAAGGTGCAGTGACCTAAGAATCTGAGAAACCTCTTCCGTTATCCGAGGTCGCAGTAACAGCTGGCTGCACCCTGCAATTCAAAAAGAATTTAACAGAGTTACTGAATAATTCATTAATCAGTGTAATCGTATAATAAATAACCATTAGCAGTATTTTCAATGATAATCATATTATAAACTATAAGCTTCAAATGCTGGTTAGCAATACCCAGCCAACTCTGCTCCTGCAGACTAATTATCAAGTCTTGCTGGATAATTAAACCATTTACAGTTATGATCCAGTATCAGTGGCTGCTGAATCCAAAGAAATAATCATCTGATATAAAGTTAATGTTTCCAGATTATAACCCACTCCTGGTGTTGTACAAAATATGAACCATCTCTAAGGTCCCAGGCTGCATCCTGGTTAATCTTCTCTGCAACCTCTGTAGTGCAATCTTATAAGGTAGCGAACAGAACGACATGCAGTCATTCAGTTGCGATCTGACCAACATTTTGAACATTGCCAGCATTATTTCCTTGTTCATGTATTCTTTGCCTCAGCTAATAAAGGTAAGTGTCTCAAGTGCCTTCTTAACTACTTTATCTATCTGTCCCTACTACCTTCAAATATATACACCAAGGTCCTTCAGATTGGTGCACTTTGACCTGTTAAGATGGCAGCAGAGTAGGACACTCCAGCTGGAGCTCCTCTGCTCTGCCCGTTCTTTTTCTTTTCTGGTCATCATAGTGGCATTTTTGTTTGAGATTTTTAAAAACTTTTTACTTTTTAAACTTATACGAAGGGACATGGAGAAGGCGAGTCCCGGACCAGAGCCCAGCACGGGGAGGCGAGTCACTGAGCAGAGGCTGTTGTTTTGGCGGGGGGGGGGGGGGGAGGGGGGGGGGGTGAGTCCCAAACTAGCAGCTGTCAAAGGGAGGTAAGCCTCTTGCGGATTGGAGGCGAGTCCTCAACTTTTGAAGCCCGATGTTGTCTGTAGACTTGGCCGGGTAAGATCTGGAGGCTCAGTGCTGGCATGGACTGGGGTGAAAGGACCATAATTCGAGTACATTTTATTAAACTTTTATTTTAATTCTGGATTTTTATTTATTATTCTTTAAATTCTGTACCACGTACTTAAGTATCTGTACCTAGGTACCTTGTACCTAAGATGATGCAACATTGTAAACTTTTCACTGTACACATTCGCGTGCATGTGACAATAAAGCTAATTTATTCATTCATTCACTGTTAGTACTTTTCAGGGCCCTACAATTCATAGTACAACCCCTTGCCTGTTATCGCTCAAAGTGCACTCAATCACATTTTTCCGGGTTGGATTCCATTTGCCACTCCTCTGCCCACCTGACAACTCCTTTGATATCCTCTTACAGTTTGCGACTATCAATTTTTGTGTCATCCACAAACTTCTTAATCATACCCCATACAGTTAATTCAAAATAATTAATGCACACTACAACAGTAAGGGTCCCAGCACCTAACTCTACAGAACCTCACTGGAAACAGACTTCCAGTCGCATAAATATCCCCCTACCATCACCCTCTGCTTCCCGCCTCTCAGATCCGTTCTTGACCTGTCTTCCATAAGGAACCTCACCAGAAACTTTGCTAAAGTCTGTCTAGACCACACTAAATGCATTAGCTAAATCAACACTTCTGGTTACCTCCTGAAAAAAATCACATTTCTCAAACATGACTTTCCCTTAACAAATCCATGCTAACTATTTCTGATTAAGCTTTGTCTCTCCAAATACAGATACATTCTGTCCTTTAGTATTCTTTGTAATAACTTTCCCAACAAGGAGGTTAGACTGACTAGCCTGGAATTTCCTCCTATTTACCTTCTTCCCTTTTTCAATAATAGAACAAAATTAGCAGTTCTCCAGTCCTCACCTCATCTGCTGCCAGAGAGGAGTTGCAAATTACTGCCAGGGCCCCTTGATATCTCCTCCCTTAACTGTCTTTTCATGTCATCAGGTCCTGTAAATTTGTCCAGGTTTAAAGCTGGTAAACCCTTTATTACCTCGTCTTTCTCTTTCTCTCTCTCTTTCCTAATTTCATCTATTATTTCACTGTTGTCCATTCTGCTGTAGACCTGTGTCATCCTTTTCCATTGCGAAGATCAATGCAAAGTATTCATTACAGACTGCCAAGATCTTCTGAGTCCACACACCTATTACTTGTATAGACCCTAATGGGGTCTACTCTTTTCCTAGTTATTCTCTCGTCTTTGTATATTTGAAATATCCCTTTGGGTTCATCTTTATTCTACCTTTATTTGCCATTGCACTCTCTGAGGTTTGTAAGTTTTCTTTTTAAGATCCACTGTGCATTTTTTATACTCCTCCAGGGACTCTGGTGTATTGATCCCTCAGTATCTGTCTTAAACTTCTCTTTTTTTTTTAATCTTAACCTTTATGTTCTTTGACATCGAGAATTACCCAGTCTTGGACCCACCCTCTATTTTTACAGGAACATATTTGCCCCTGTATTCCCGCTATTTCCTCCTTGAATGCCTTTCACTGCTTTGACATAATTTTTTTTTGCAAGTAGCTGCTCCCAGTCCATCCAAGACAAATTATAAACAAAATCACAAATTACTAGAAAAGCCCAGCATTTCTGGCAGTATCTGTGGAGAGAAATCAGAGTTAACGTTTTGGTTCGAGTGGCCCTTCCTCAGAACTGATGGTGGGTAAGAAAATGTTGGTTGATACACAGAAGATAAGGTGGGGGGAAAGGGTAAGACGTAAACAATAGGTGGGGATAGAGCTCAAAGCGACAGAAGAACAGTTGGACAGACAAAGGAGTGGATAACAATCTGGCTAGGAGGATGAATACCTATTAATGGAGACGGTAAACCGCTAACAATGTGTTGTGTGTAATACCAGACAATGTGATAAGGCCTGGTGTGTGGGGTTGGTGTGAGGACATGGGAGAGCTCACGCCCTAAAGTTTTTGAACTCGATATTGAGTCTAGAAAGCTGCAGGGTCACCAGGTGGAAAATGAGGTGCTGTTCTTCCAGCTTGCGCTAAGTTTCACTGGAGCACTGCAGCAAGCCTAAGACAGAGATGTTGACCAGGGAACAGGGTGCTGTGTTGAAGTGGCAGGCAACTGGAAGCGCGGGGTCTTTATTTGCAGACATAATGTAAGTATTCTGTGAGACGGTAACCCAGTCTACGCTTCGTTTCCCTGGTGTAAATGTAAGCAGCGAATGCAGTAGACTAGATTTTGTAAAGTTCAGGTGAAGAGCTGCTTCACTTGGAAAGTGCGTTTGGGCCCTTGGATACTGAGGAGGGAGGAAGTAAATGGACAGGTGTTACACTTTCTGCAGTTGCCAGGGAAGGTGCCATGGTACTGTTTTTTTTTTTTGGGGGGGGGGGGGGGGGGGTGGTGGTGGTGGGAGTGAAGGAGGAGTGGACAAGGATGTCCTGGAGGAAATGGTCCCTGTGGAAGGCTCATAAGGGAAGGGGAGGAAATGTGTCTGGTGGTGGTGGCATCCCACTGGAGATGGTGGAAATGGCAGCTAATGATCCTCTGGACGTGGATGCTGGTGGGACGGTAGGTGATGACCCTACTGCTATTGCGGGAGGGAAGAGAGGGGTGACAGCTGAACTGCGAAGTGGGGGTGAGCGCCAAATCATATCTTGCCTTAGTAAAATTAGAATTTCCCCAGTTTAGAACTTTTATTTCCAGCCCATCCTCATCTTTTTCCATAGCTATCCTAAATCTGAGTTATAGTCACTATATCTAAAATGTTCCCCCCTTAACTGATGCCCCTTTCACCTGACTGGATCCACTTCCAAATATTAGGTCTAGAACTTCCCCCTCTTTTGTTGCGCTTTCTATGTACTGGCTAAAAAAATCCTCTGGAGGCAAGTTAAGAATTTTGATCCCTTCCTGCACTAAAACTATCTTAATTAATATGTGAATAGTTAAAATCCTTGACAATTAAAGCCTTATTGTTCTTACACTTCTCCAAAATTTGACTACGTATTTGATCTGCTAACTCTCCCTGACTGTTTGGGGACTAATAGTACAAATCTAATAGCATGTTTGCCCTTTTGTGTGTTTATTTCTCCCCATTTAATGATTTTTCCACAAATATCGACTCAATATTGCAAGCCCCTCCTCTTCTATCTTGTCTGAAAACCCTACAACCTTCCTATATTGAGTTGTCAATTCTGTCCACCTTTTGGCCAATTTTCAGTCTTATCAATGGTATCATTCCCGCACATGCCCTCAGCAATCTGATATATTCCTCAGGCTCTCTGCATATGTCATGTTTCGGGGCATGAACAATTCAAAGACTGTGCATGCTCACTACTGATTATTTTCAACTATTAGACTGACACTTAAAAATTAAAATGAAAATCTTAATTTGTAAAACACTTTCCTTTTCTTACACAATAGCTTCCATTTGCTTGGTATTTCCTACTCTTTGCTTCAATATATTAATGAAAGATATTGATGTTAGTGCACATACTCCTGGGCGTCAGCTAGAGCAGCCTCTTTCTTATCTAGCCTCTGCCTTCCAGACTCTCAGACTCTCATTTTAACTGCTAATTCCATCTTAGCTTCCCTCCCCTCTGAACTACTTGACAGAATCCCAACCCCTTGCCAATTTAGTTTAAATCCGTTCCAACAGCATCAGCAAACTTCCCCGCGAAGATGTTGGTCCTGTTCCTGCTCAGATGTAAGCCATCAATTAAATCTTTCGTTAAATCCCTCCACGTGAAAAATCAGGTAGAAGTCGTCATCGGTGCATGAGAAAAGATTATGTCAGCTCCCCACTTGAGCATCCTGTTCCTTCACACTCTTGCCTGAACCCAACAGTACAAATGTAGTTGTACCTCTCATTGTCCGCAGCCAGTCTACATTGCTCGCTTCCAGAATATCGGGATCAGTCACCACACTGCCAGGCAGGAGATCATTAAAGAAAGCCATGTCTTCAGTTGTGATAGCAGCAAACCCTAACCGCTGGACATTGTATCGCACATGTGTGAACTCCACATCTCTGCTCCTGTAACCAGTGGTCCAGTGGAACTGCCTCCTCCTCTGCCGTGGCTTGCTGAGCATGGGTGGGATGTGAAGATGGGCTGAAGATGCCATTGATTTTCTGCCAGAGAGATGCAGCCACCGTTTACACAGAGCTCTGCGGCACTGCATTGCACAGCTCGGGAGGACAACTGCACAAGCCATGAATACCTAATGCACTGGAGACAGAAAAAAAAATTAGCAAAACCAAATAACAGGAAGATGGAGGGACAGCTCAAGATAATCCAATGATGGAAAGGATGAGGGGCAACTCACTTAAATCCAATGACAGGAGGATGGAGGGACAGACCATGATATACTAATCACAGAAATATAACTACTTACTAAACAGGAGGCCACCTATCACCAAAAAAGCTATCCAGCCTAATCACACTTTTAGCTCTTGTTCTGCAGCTCATTTCCAAATGTGTTGACACAAAGATGGGTAGTATTATAACCTGTGTACACAGAAATGTAAAACTACAAAGAGATATTGATACATTGTGAATGTGGCAAATGGATTTTAATGTTTACAAGTATGCAATTATCTCTTTAGGGCTGAAGGAGGTACCCTTTAAGAGGTGGAAAGCTATAAACAATGGAGATCCAAAAAACTTGCAAGTTCTGGTACGCAGATCAATAAAAATGTCACAGAAGTAAATAATAGGATGATGGAATGATAGCCTTTATGTTGAGGGGGTGAGAACTCAAGGAAATAGAAGTTAACATCAACTGTACAAAGACCTGGTAAGACTCCACCTGTAATAATTGTCACGATTCTAGGCATCACAGAACGTTGCATTCACCTTGGAGGGAGTACAGTGCAGGATGACTACTAGAATGACAACTGGACTTCAAGCATTAAATTAGAAGAACTGACACAAACTGAGAGAGGAATATATTCAGAGTCATATAGCATAGAAACAGACCCTTTGGTCCATGTCAACCAGAAATCCTAAACTGAACTAGTCCCATTTGCCTGCATTTGGCCCATATCCCTCTATACCGTTCCTACCCACGTACCTGTTCAAATGTCTTTTAAATGTTGTAATTGTACTCGCTCCTACCACTTCCTCGTTCCATACACGCACCACCCTGTGTGTGAAAACATTATCCTTCAGGTCCCTTTTAATTATTGAACGATGGTTTTCAAGAAAGCAAAGATGAAGACAGAGGGAAACTACTTCCACATATTGGAGTCGGGGGGTGGGCACAGCTAAAGATTAGACCATTCGGGAGTCAAATTAGCAAACACTTCAGCAGGTAAAGTTGTAACCTCAGAGATAGCAATAAATGCGGATGCTGGAGGAACATAGCGGGCCAGGCAGCATCAAAGGTGCAGGGAAGTCGATGTTACGGGTCGGGACCCTGTAAACGATGCCTTGCCCATTTAAAATCTGACATAGAAACATAGGATAGATTGAGATTAATGGATTTTTGTTACTGAGAGAGGGAGGTGGAGTTTGGAGCTGGAGCAGCAGGTATGACGGGCTGAATGGCCTCCAGTTGTACCAGGAGTATCTCGGTCAATGCTCTCACAGGCTGCAGCCACCGTGGAAAGAGCGGGGAGCCTGAGGGGCCGGGATATCTCCCTCTCTCTATTCCTTCCGCTGCCCCCTCGGCCTCAGCCTGGGCCCTGGCCGACTCCAACTGCCGCCCGACAGGGGCCCTTCAGGCCGGGCAGGGGGCTTCCCGCGGGACCGGAGAGAACGGCGGCGCTCGTACCCGCGGTCAGGACGGCGGGCGGCCGGGGCCGGTATGCGGGGGGAGGGTGTACATTGTGAGGGGAATGGGAGCGAGCGGAGGGTGGAGTTTGTGAAGGGAAAGCTCTTGTCATTGAGCAGGTTCAAGGCAAAAATTGACGGGTTTTTCTATTTATTTCATACTCATCGATGTCTGGGGGGGGGAGGGGGTCGGTACTGTAACAGCAACAAAGGTAACGGGATGATATTTTGCCTCCATCAACTTGTGCAGAGATGTCACTGCGCAGACACACACCCCCCCCTCTGGAGCAGGCAAGGCTTGAGCTTGGGCCTCCTGACTCAGAGGTAGGGACACTATCACGAGGCCCCTCCTCCATCGGGCTAATAACACGAATCGATAGGGAGAAACCGGCACTGGCCGGGGGGGCGGGGGTGGTAACCTGGAAAATGACAGGGGGAGTCTCGGTGGGCTGAATGGCCTCGTGTGCGCGGTCAGGATGCAGGCCCGTGGTCGGCCACTTTCCCGTCAGATAGCCACCAACTGGCCGCCCACCCAGGACACTATTGTTGGGGGGCAGTGAATGGACCTCTCAGGTTCTGGACTGGAAGGAACCCAAATTCCACCCCGTGCTTTCCCCTCGGAGTGTCCTCACCCCCTGCCGACAGGCTGTATCCAGGCTTCTGGAACTATTTACACAAAACTGCTGGTGAGAAAGCAAGAGGCACAAGTAAGTACCCACTGACTCGCTCACCCGATCCTTGCCAGGCGGTGGAGACGTCACGTGACCAGATGTCACGTGGTCAAACCTCCAGGCATGTTTCCAACTTTGACTTGGCAACCCTGGGTTATTAACCTGCTTTTAAATCTTGTCTGAGGAATACGTGCTGCCAAGGTGCACTTTTCTTCAAATACACCCATTGCATCTTTTATTCCCACCTGAAGGGGGAAGGTGGGAATAAGCTCTGAACGCGTTGTAAAATAGAATGGGAAAGATAAGGCCAGAAAATACTTCAAACTGGATTCTTACCAGTAGGACAAAAGGACACTGATTCCAACTAATAAAAACGTGTTTTTTTAAGAGCGAGCTTTCTTTTAGGAGCTCCCCACCAGGATTGATTCCCGGTAGAGTGTAGGATACGTAGGGCCATGAGGTTTCAGATTGTACTGCATGATGATTCTGTTGCCGATGGCCCACAGCGCCTCAGATCTGTTAAAAGATCTGTTCAAAGTCTGTCCTATTTGGTATGTGTCACGTAACAGGATGGAGCAAAAACAGAAGTTGCTGGAAAAGCTCAGCAGGTCTGGTGGCATCTGTGAAGAAAAACAGAGTTACTGTTTCGGGACCAACGTTTTTCTTCTGATGCTGCCAGACCTACTGAACTTTTCCAGCAACTTCTGTTTTTGTACCTGATTTACAGTATCCACAGTAGTTTCAGTTTTTATAACAGGATGGAGGTTATTCTCAATATTAAAGTAAGATTTCATCTCCACAAGGACTGTGTAGTGGTCCCTCTTACCAACACTGTCACAGATAGATCCGCAGGCTTATTGGTGAGGATGAAGTATATTTTTCTCTGGCTGGTTCCCTCACCACCTGCTGCAGACTCCGTGTCTGCACCGGTGTCCTTTAGGACTCAACTAGCTCAATCAGCTGTTGTGCTGCCATACCATTCTCAGTGGTGGACATTGATGTACCCCACCCATTGTGCCCTTGTTACCTGAATGCTTCCTCCTGGTGTTGTTCAGCATAGAAGACTGATTCATCAGCTTGAGGGAAGATAGAGCATGATAATCAATAAATGTCCTTGTGCCTGTTCGACCTGATGCCTCAAGACTTCAGAGTGTCCAGAGTCAATAATGCACACTCCCAGAGCAACTCTCTCCCCACTGTACCATTGTGTCACCATCTCTGCTGGATCTATCGTGCTACTTGGACAAGACATATCTAGGGATGGTGGTGTCTGGGACACTAAGGTATGATTCTGTAGTTTGACAATGTCAGGCTGTTTCTTGCCTAGTCTGAGACATCTCTCCCAATTTTGGCACTAGCCCCAGATGTTAACAAGGAGGATTTTGCAGGATATACAGAGCTGTTTTGCTGTTGTCATTTCCTGCACATAAAGTCATTGCTAGGTGGTCCTTCTGGTTTCATTTCTTTCTTTCGACTTTTGTATCAGTTGCTACACTGAGGGGCTTGCTAGGCCGTTTCAGAAAGCAGTTAAAGAAAGAGTCAACCATATTGCTGTGACTCAGGAGTCAGATGTTGGCTGGACCAGGTAGGATGGCAGATTTTCTTCTCTAAAAAAGGACGAGTGAACTCATTAAGAGGCTGCAACCCTATTGCAATCAAAGCAGAAGACAATGCAAATCTCAAAAATATTTTATTTTGACAATACAGCCATCATTACTTCATCTAAAAATACAGATATACAATACTATTATTTATTTTAAAAAAGTTTACAATTTTTGTTTGTTTACAAAGGGAACATCCACACTGTCCAAGCTAAAAGGCATTATGAGCAACTGTAATATAGGAGATGAAGAGATTGTCAGAGTTATCTAATAAACCCACAACTTAGCTCAGCCATGGTCTTTTCAAATACAACCCTGTCAATCAAAACAAAAGCTGCTCCTTCATTACACTGCAGTTACCCCTTTCTGATAAGCTGATCCAGACAAAAACTGACGCCAATAAAGCCTACACAAGCATTCATTGCTATTTTCACTGTCTTCTTACTGGGCAGTGCTTCTTCTGAAAAATGTACATTAAATGCTTAAGGCCTGTCACACACACACAACTTTCGTAGCAAGATCTGAAACAACTACACAGTCTCTTGCCACACAGACTTATAAACGGTTCATGGATGAAATTTTACGTACTAAAGTGCTTATAGACTTGCCTATACAAATACTTGTGCCTAAGGAGAGGACTCTATGACGTTCCCACATTTATAACATTGCACAGTTACTAATTTCAGCTGTGTACAGAAGTGAACAAGGTGGTATACACTGTCTTCACTGCACAGTTTTGTTTATGTTGCATGAACATGAAGCCTAATGTTGATCCACACATTTATAGATCTACAAAATGATCAGTTCCCTGAATAGTACATTCCTCAGCACTGGACAATAAGAACTTTAGATTAGGTGGGAATGATGGCATTTAAAAAAAACATGCTGCAAGAAATGTCATCATCAACAACTGGGAACAGCACAGCAGATTTCTAACATACTACAAATACAGTGCCAAGTCACTCCCACTCAAGATCTCAAATTTAAATTGTGTAGCAGAAAAGTAGGAGTTAGGAGAATAAGAATCACCCAAGTGGGAATTGGGTTGTTGTCCAAACAGAAGAAAATGTATTCCAAAAAGAATCATGATCCAAAAAAGATGAATGTGTTTTTCTCATCTCCCTACTACAGCGCTCTCTGGATTCTCACTCTTTGATTCAATTGTATTATGCCAAGACTGCACACAAATGACAAGAGAAACTAAATGCTAATTCCATCTTATTTTTAAAAAAAAATCTTTGCCATACCAACAGATTTGTACAAGTACGTGGGATACACATCAGATGAAAGATGACTAAGAAAATAAATGTAGTTAAAAATCTGAAATAATAGTAGCTAATGATTTGACATGGGAAAACCATTTCCCATCTAAACCTCACAATTGTGATCACTTTGCATGAAAAAAATGGATTGACATTAGCTGATTTAAGTGTCAATATTGCAATCTTTCAAAATTACTTTTGGTTATTAATATTCGTGTTGAAGCTGGATATTGTTTCTTCCTTAACTCTTCCAACACACACTTAACATCTATTACAGACACTAACTGGGGAGCCTGATCCCGGGCCTTACCAGACTAGAGGTCAAAATGGTTCACAGTGACGTTTTCCCCTACTGTGGAAAGCACACTAGCTCCACACGAATCAATATCTTGCCATAAACGGACCAGTGTACATTTTTCAACTGGGTAACTATGGGTAAGAGTGAAGAATGATGTGTAGATTTTATCAGTGATACATTTACAAATATGGTCAAAAAGTTCAAATATATTTACAACAATGATCAATAAAATAGCAAATCACAGCATTACTAGTTAAACCATAATACATTACAAAGTTAGGAACAAGGAAAGGCTATTTCACCAATCCATACTATTTCTCTCATTCACCAGTGCTTCACAATCGAATCGAAATTTATCTCAAATAACCCCATCGTTTTTTTTTCTTTCTTCACCCTGGGTTTGTAAATTATTCCAAATATCGTTTGTGCAGAGATTCGTCTCAATACCTTTTCTCTTTACTTTCCATTTCAATTTATGGCCTCAAATCCTACATCTTTGGCATATTTTCATACATTACATAAACTGTACCTTATACGCAGATTTTAGTATTTAAATACTTCATTGAGTTCATGATTAATGACCTTCTTTAAGACTGTAAAGCATCATTCTTTGTTGATTTTTCACATTGTGGTTTGGCTCCTCTATAATTGGAATCAAGTTGTCTCTCTCTTCTGGATACCCTTTCAAATTATCTTTTGTAAATGTTCTGACTACAACATCATGGTGTCCTGTAAACAAATTGAGAAGCAAAGCTATCAGCAAGTGGGTACTACCTGAAGCTGATTTTAGTGGGTTCTTGAATCTGTCACCAATAGCTGACGACCAAAGCCAAACAGATTCACTATAATTCATACAATCAGTAGCTTTGTATTAAGCAGGTCAGTGCTGGCACAAAATATTCATCTCATAAATGATGAAGTGGACAGGCAAACAGGAATTACAGCCAGTACTATACACTTCTCTTTCTCCGATTTGGAGAAACTTTTTCTGTAGTGTACTTAGAGTTCCTTGGAGTCACTGTAGCTTCAAGATTACCTGTCTGATGACTGAAGGTCAGAACCAAGTCACATCATCCGTGGCACTCTTGGTAATCCAATGTCTGAATCAGGTCTGTACCATTATACTGCTTTTGATTGATTGATGAGGAGAGATCTGAAGTATAGGCCAATCATCCCATCCAGCTTAATGGGTAAAGTGGTCCATCCAGTCACGCAATGGAAAGCTTACCAGTGCATCCAAGGCATAAGTAGTATAGTTTTCACTGGTTACATTCTGGCCATAATGCTTCACACAGCTGGGAAACCCATAGCCTCAGGTCTACAAACCTGCACCAAAGCTCTATGGACTGAGGTGGAAATGTCACTCTCTCGGTTAAGAATTTGTAATCTTGCAAAGTGAACAAAGATTACATTTCTCACGAGCACAGTTCTAAGATGCTTAGTCAAGCTTGGCAGGTTCCCACACGTAATACACTTGATGGATGACAAACAAAAACTTCCAGAAGTGGCAGGAAGGGTCCACATACCGCACAAATTCATATTTCAATCAAAAGAGGCATGAGAAGGGTTACTCCTCAAGTTGGAGCATTAAACATACAATCCTTCATGATCCACAAATTTGCACTTGTGCACATTCAGTATTATTGCAGTCCACAGTTACACAATGCTTAAACTAGTCATATTGAGTCCCTGTTTATTCACTATGATAAGACTAACTTCATATTATTCTTCAAGAAAACTGGTACATGTTTATTTTGGTTTTAAATCTTCCTTCAATACTGAACAGGCAGAAGCATTCCTAAAAACATTCAAGCGTGTTGATTAAAAAGATGCTGTATCAAGAATACACACCAACAACAGTGGTTCAAAATAAAATA